GTGGACATCATTCGAGTCCAGGGAAACCCCGAGGGTAAATGGTTGGGAAGAGCACAGGATGGATCCAGTAGGTTCACAATCTACCCTTCAATTTTCTCACTTTCTCGTCACCTTCCACTCTAACTCTTTGCTGACAGGATAAATTGTCACTTGTATCAGCAAATACAGGATCAGCTATCTCTCTATGCACCATCTATGGTCTTTTTTTCCATTTTTAGTCAATATTTTAGCCTCAAAGCTGACTGTAGGAGCAACACTAACATCTCGTCAATGCTTCATTTTGCTCTCGCAGTTGGCTACGTGAAGACGACTTCAGTAGAAATTGACTTTAACTCCTTGAAGAATCAAGGAGCCTCACTTCAGCAGGCTTACGACCCCGAGGTCTACGATGACATCGATGTAGTTGATAACAGGTACGGGATTGTAACTGTATATGATGAGTCCTTAATGTGGAGCCAACACTCCTTCACAGACACAGACATAGATTATACATTTGAAAATGCTAGTCAGTTAGGGTTATGAAACGCTAATGGAAACTCCAGTGTTACTGTCTTGCTGTTACCCCATGAAGCACTTCTCCAATTTACTGTGAAAAAACAAAGTTAGCCAAGTTGGCCTGCTTCTCATTTAATATCTCTCTTTTTTTTTTTTTCCCGGCCTTAAAAAGGGCCCGGGGGTTCCTTTTTCCATTCTTTTTTTTCTTTTTTTTTTTTTTTTTTTTTTTTTTATTATTATTGTTGCTCACTCTGTAATGAAATCTTGCTGATTACATCTCTTATTCCTTGTAGTTGTCCTACCACCTCTACCAGGAGGAGAAGAAGGAGAAATATATGATGATGTTGTTGATCCAAACTTAGAAGTCAGGTGAGAACTGGTTTTGTTATTTAAAAAAACGGGTAAATGCAAACGTAAAGACACTCTGGAAAGATTTAGAAAACATGACAGAAGAGCAGATCATTACATCCTTGGTTGGCTTTCCAGTCCCTTCGATCCCAGGTCTTCTTTGAAGCCCCGCAGCTTCCTGCGGATGTTTGACCGAAACAGACGCCCTGCCAGCTCTAAAGTGTAAAATACACTCAGTAGTAAGACTGACCACAGATCTACTGTCCACTGTTGTTAATCCTTAATCTTTCAGCCGTCACTCCTCTTTTATTGGTGACGGCGCATTTCAGTTTTGATTTCTCCCGACATCGGCATCAGAAAAAACACTTCACCTCCTCTGTCTGAATAACACTGAAACGTCCTAATTTGCAGTTTAACTTCCGCAGTCTGAGAAGCTGGAGTCTAACGGTCACGTTTACATGTTTGTGTCTGATCACTGACTACCTGTGATTTTACTAATCTTTGGGAGTAATTTGCATGTGCGCGACTGCTGTACAACTCAATCAGAAAAATCAATGTATTAACAGCTAACACTGTCAAAAGCATGTTTTAACCAGAGTTGAATATGATTGTTAATCAGGGCTGCTTTAAGTCACATTAACATACTTTTAATTGATGATACTGTAGCAGTATAAAGGATATAATATTATCTTTTCCTCTGTTGTCCCAGAGTTCCTCCACCCAGCCAGTTTACAGCTGATGGGAATTCAGGTATAACTCATTCAATACTACCACTTTACTGTCCATTTCAAAATAAGACATCTTGGCACGGTTTCTCTAACATAAAAAGACATTAATGCACACATAAGTTTTTCTGGTACAGGTTGGTTTGTCTTTTAGGACCCAAAGGCTTATTGAGGCTAATCGGATCTAAGATCATTCAACTTTATATTGATACTATTGTGTCGTTGCCATTTCTGTCCCACTTTCTTGACTTTAACTTGTAGTTTAATTCACTGTAACACTATAGTGATGGTCTGTGAGTTATATTTGTTATATTTACTCTTTTGTAACATTTATTATAATGTCTACGGTGTTCCTTTAAGAAAGGTTTGCAAACTAAAGCTTCATTCAGGCTTAGTGAAAACTATCCAATCTAATACTCACCGACCATTTCCTTGTGTTAACACAGATAAGCCGGGTCAAGCAATTGATGAGGAAATATATGATGACGTCGACTCTCAAAATGCACCTATCCCACCTCCCATCAGCAGGTAGATCAGCCTCACAACAAAAGACTGTATTTAAGATGAACTCCAACCTGTTTAGATCCATGAACTGAAATGTCTTAATACAGCTGTCATTTCTTTCCAATTTCTGTTTGTTTTTCCATCAAGTATTCCACCTGGGAAAATCAAAAGCAAAGTTGAAGAAATGGACCCTAAGAAGCAGAAAAAGTTTGAGAAGGAGGAGAAGGAATTCAGGAAGAAGTTTAAGGTTTGTCACTCTAACATGTTTCAACCACACTTACAATATCTTTTATCTTATTTCGCATGTTCATATATATATATATATATATATATATATATAAAAAATCTGTTTCAGTATGAAGGAGAAATACAGGTGCTGTACCAGGTGAATGTCATCCACAATCTTACGAATAAAAAATGGAGTGGCAAAGAGCTGCCAGTAAAAGCAGGAGAGGCCCTTGATGTGATTGCTAAAGCTGTGGATAACAAACTGATCTGTCGAAATGAAGACGGCAAGTGTGAGTATCTATTTACTCAATTATATTGATTAATTGGTAGATCCATTTACCCAATCAACAAATCCTAGCACTATTTACCGCTAAACCCTTAAAATGTGCATTTTACAGTTGGTTATGTATCGACCAGCCACATTGCTATGGAGTAAGTACTACAGACATTCACACATTTATGCTAAGCTAGAAACTAAACAACATACTGACAGTACTGATGTTTTTGTTTTTGTTTACAGCGATGGAGATATCTATGATGATATTGGAGACGGTACGTTCTGAATACATTGCTGTGCAGCTGAACTTTTAGGAGTATAACTGCTGACAGAGCAGTCTTTAAAAAGTGGATTTTATTTTAACCCTCCTACAAACCTCAGTACATTGAGGTTTGCAGGTATGGCTCTTTATGCACAGCTCTCTTGAGGTCCCACCACAGACTCTATCTGGTTGAGTTCTGGACTTTGACAGTGGTATTGCAACACCTTGATTCTTTTCTTTTTCAGCCATTCTGTTGTAGATTTGCTGCTGTACTTGAGATCATTATCTTGTTCCATGACCCAATTTCAGCCTAGCTTTAGCTGTCAGATACACACCCTCATATTTAACTCCACAATACTTTGGGAGTTCATGGTTGACTCAACGACTGCACAGAGCCCAGGTCCTCTGACTGCAAAACAAGTGCAGTACTATTAATGGTTGGTTAAGACTGTGTATTTCCTCCTCTTTTACAAAAGTGGGAAGGACCTGAGCAGCAGGCACATGACTCAAAACACAGAGAAAAAGAAATTCATTCAACTTATCAATTGTAAACTATGTAAACAAAATCCATTTGTCATTATGTCGAATACTTTGCGGTGTCAGTGTATTAAAACAAAATAACCAAAACAGCTAAACCAAACAAAGTAAATGTGAAACCAGTAGAAGAGTGTGAAACCAAAAAAGCTGTACTTCTGATTTGTGTGTTGAGTGTGGGTTAATATTAAAAAAAATATTTTATTTGTCTGGCTGTTGATACGACCCTCACAGGAAATACTTTTTAACTATTGTTTTGCTTTCATTTCAGAGTGCATCTACGACAACGATTAAGGAATATCCTGCACCAGCTTTTTTGTTTTATATTGCTTATTTGCATGTTTTGTTATTTATTATGTTTACTGTTGCTATACACTGGGAGTTGGTATAAAATGGCCATTTGGTGTCAATCTATTTTTTTTTATATCATCGAAATTAGACAGAAAAAAAATGTGTGGTTGGTGGCTCCAACTGCTGGAGCCAGGCTAGCCACATACAATCTCATACTTTAACCCCCACCCCCCAAAAAGCTCTAAATCAAACTATGTGTCAAATATTTGTTCAAACAACAGTATTTTAATATATTTCTCTGTCTGTTTTCTTCATTTCTTCCTTGTTTGGGCTTTAATTTATAAATTTGCTTCAAAGATTTTGCAAAAATTTAAGAATATTTGCAGTATACAGCTAATAAAAAGATTGTACTTTTTTTTGTCATTTCAGCGGATGATGTACTGTTTGTATATTCCTTTCTATAAGGCCAATTCAAACATTTTTCTTTGTCTAACTAAAGATTTAGACAAATGTAATTTTGTGCCAAAGTACTTTTGATGCACTGTATATAAAGTTAAGAAGAACTTCCTGTATATATTTTTTTT